CATTTATTGGGAAGGTCAGACTCAGGATTGGTCAGCACTAAAAAGAAAAAAAAAAAAAAAAGTCTCAATGCTCAATCATCAGTGACCAGGACTGACCCGCCCATTTTAAAGCTGGCCATACACTGCGCGCAATCCAATCGGCCAATCAGAATGTATGGCGTACGGCCACCTTAAGGCTCACCATACAGGTTTGAATCTGGCCATGCAATCAACTTTAGATCTACCGAACCAATGCAATACGAGGACCTATCTAATCTAGCCAATCAGGAGGGCCCTTGCACCACATAGCAGTTGGTAGATGTAAAGGAGGAGATTGTACAATCATTTTGTTACATACATAGGAGGCTCAAAGACAACTCTCTGCTCACCACACACACGTTACAATCTTACCGTGTATGGCTTCAGCAAATCTATGGAACAGAAGGACAAACCTAGACAAGTCATCCAATCAGGCAGGGCCCTTGCACTACATAGATGATGGCAGATCTAAAGGAAATTGTACAGTATACAAGATTGTACCCAAGCTTTTGGTACCAAGCTGAACACTCCGCCTTGAGGCAGGATCCAGACTTGGGTTATAAAGGCACATGTATAACATCTGTGGCCATATATGCATGGATGATACAATCAGATTGTATGGTGTATGACCAGCTGAACACTCTGCCTTGATGCAGACAGGTTAGAAAGCACATGTATAAAATCTGTGGCCATATATGCATGGATCATACAATCAGATTAGATAGTGTATTAGTGTATGACCAGCTGAACACTGTGCCAGGATTCAGACAGGTTAGAGAAGGCACATGTATAACATCTGTGACCATACAATCAGATTGGATAGTGTATTTGTGGCTATATATGCATTGACCGTACAATCAAGTCTCCATATGCCAGTAAACGCTACAATTGTAATTGCCTTGAACAGATTCCTCAGGACCCAATGGAAGGTAAAGCAATGACAGCTGGAAGGCTCCAACCACTCTATACAAAAATAAATCACCTTTTTTTCACTCCAAAATTGACAAAGAAAGCGATCGGAGTGATGCAGACCACGTGATTATCGTTGGGGCATCAAGCGATCGCTGCATGGAGGAGGTCGATGCGTGTATGGCCAGCTGGCAATGCAGGGCTTACCTATGGAGACGAGCTTGATGTTCTCCCGGTCCAGGAACTCCAGGGCCACCGACACGTTCTCCAGCTGCATCTGTCGGAAGTTGGGTCTCTGGTTGTACTTGCGGTACATCTTCTTCTGGCTCAGCACCTCCAGCAGGGCGATCAGTCGCAGCCCGTCGCCCAGGTCTACCTGCAGGTTGGCGATCCTCTTGTTGACGCATTTCAGGTGCTCGTTGCACCATCGGGTGAACGTGTTCTGCTGGATCTTCTTCCATGGCGCGTCCTCCGCCAAGTCCTTCTCTGTGGCCGGCATCTCCGCTGGGTCAGCACCGGTTCCTGCTCCGGCTCCCGCGGCTCCGCTCTGGGTGAGCCTCTGGTGGGCGCTGCTCATTTTATGGTTCGGGCTGAGAGGAGGGTCCGGGAGGAAATCAGGAGGATGGGCTGGCCTTAAAGAGACAACACACAAGATCGGTCAGGAGAGGAGCACAGAGAACACGGCATTGCACATACATTATACATCTGCACGGATCAACACCGCCACACTGCCTGCAGGCGCCATCGCGCCCTATTCTGTCAGAGATGAGTGTCTTTCTACATAGAGCGGTGTCATCTGTAACACTAGGATCCCGGAGATCACACCCCTGCCATCTTTGTTTCATTCAGGAGTTACTTATTGTAACTTTTTATTTACCCCAAAACTTTATGCAACTTTGTTGCTTCCGATCAGATCGTCGTCGCTTCTCTTGGCAAGGCACTGAATGCAGAGGTGACAGCTGTCCCTCCTTTGGAGGATTGGTCCCCCGATCGCTGCCTCTAAAAAGTACACGAAATCTGGAGGCACCCCAGTCTGAAATGTACAACATGACACGTGGTGTGCCCAAAAAAATA